GGGATTTCATAGTGTTTATTTTCTAAACAAGCAGCACAAAAAATACACACCTTCAAACAAACACAACAATTTTTTTATATAGTAAAATAATGTCTTATTGAAGGCACAATATTGTGCCTATAAATAACAAAGCCAAACACCTTGTTTTGAATCCTCTCACATAAGTTCCTTAWTTAAGTTGCATCGACTTAATTAAGCTATATATACCTGCTTTTCTTATCGTGCTGCAACGGACTTAAGAAAGAAGTAAAGTTTAAGAGCACCCTGCCAAGAAACTGGTACTGCAAATCCATGGCTTTGCACAATGTAATCAGCATATTTATCAAAATCATCGTTACCGCTCAGACTGRAGGGACGAATACACTTGGTTTTTGCCCAGGTAATCTGTTCTGAGGATAGCTGATTTAACATGTCTGTGCCACCTTTAAAATATATCAAACAGAGAAAGCACAATACTTAAATGAAATGCACATAAATAGTTAAAACGTTTGACCTTATTTAACTTATTTTTTATTCTAAGCTTTTAAAAATACATGCAATTAAGATGGCATTTYGCAGATGAAAAGGCCTTTTTGGCTTGGCAAAAACTCGCAGTGACAGCTTTAAATACGATTAATGAAATTATATTTCTAATTCAAAGTGATAAATTGTTAATTGTACCTTTCTAAACTTTCTTTATAATTTTGAAATTTTCCTCCGACATTCAGTAAACACTTGACTCGTCCGCCATCATGTGTTATGTTAATTATGCACAGGTAACCCAAGAGCTAGTTAGAGTGTTGCAAACAACCTTTGCTATTTATTATTTTCTATGTTTTCAATCCATTGTTTCATAAATTGCTGTTGGGTGCTTATTAATATTATTTATTTAGCAATCTTTCAATTCAATTTTTGCACTTCATTTATTCATTCATTCACCTGTACTTATGTATTTATTCATTCATTTACTACCATTCAATTCATTCATACATCTATATATTTATTCATTCATTAATTCATCTGTATCAGGGGCGGAGCTATCCAGAAGTTTTAAAAGGGGAGTGACTCTAACAGGGTTCCTCGCCCCAATACCTCATACCCAATACGTATATACTGGCCTGAGTTTTCTGGAAGAAAAAATAGTTCGTCAGGAATACCATTAGGACACCCGGCTGTACTATGTTTTCTAATTCTGCGCTCGTTCCAWTTGGCTGCCACAGAGTCCAATTCCTTTTGTATGATATTCATGAAGCAGTACCTCAAACAGTAAACATGAATAATATTACCATTGCAAAATGATCCAGACTCTTTCAAATCTTTGAATAGTTCCAACCACCAGTTGCTCTGAGATTTCCTGAAAATAGACCACCAGGCCTCTATCCTTTGATTAGCAGTAGACGAAATATATCTGTGTCCATAACTTTGGCCACCGGTAGTCGAATTTTCATGAAAAACTTGCTGTAGTGCTGCCACAATGCCATTTTCAGTACCGCAGTCTGACCACACTCTTTTTGGACAACTTTTCAGTTGCTCCACTCCACTCATATAATATCCAGCAATTATGGAGGGATCATGGTTACTATATGACACTCGCAAGAATATGATCCTTCTAGAATAACCATCTATGCATCCACTTATCCCAAAACCAAAGGGAGACAGCTTATCATAACCATCTATATGCCAAGTGTTATTGGGGCCAGGGCAGCGGTAAACTCTCCTACGAAGTTTTCTTCTCTTTCTTTCTTTGACTCCACTAGGGTCCATTTCTTTGAGAATATTCATGACAGCRTCTCGAGAAACCCTAAGTTTGTATTTGGTTCTAAGGCATCTAGTCATCGCCCTATAACCCATTAAGCTTCCAGGCCCATTAAGTTCCGCGTTTATCGCATTTTCTATATCCCTCCTATTGCTCCGATTTCCTCTTCTTCGTAGGTGGTACTTGTGATTTGTCAAATATTTGATTTGCCTGAGAGTAATATTTACTCCGTAACAAGCGGAAAGAAACCTTATGATGCTTCCGTAGGAGTAGCCACTGTTCCAGAAACAAACAATACAATCTTGAAGATGAGTAAAGGTGGTTAAAAATGGAGAAGGCGGTAAAGCGTCCAGAGAACAACAGGTCGTTGAAAAGACCACAAGGAATAAGCAACAATGAGGGAAGAAAACCATCCTCCTGAAAACGATGGCAGGATTAAACAGCACTCGGCACAACAAAACTCTGCTGATCAACGCGACGCTTGCTGTTTCGGAGCTTGGTAGCCGAGCTCCCATCCTTTTTATTTTGTTTTCGAGCACTAAATTATAGAATTGTTTATTTTGTTATAGCYTCTGTAAAACGGTTTTAAGATTTGTTGGTTTCATTCTTGTGTACCCTGTTTTGAAACTCCTAATATTTGTTTTGTTTCGCAACTTGAAATTTTGTTTTCCTGCTCGTTATCTTGTTTTGAGACTCGTAAACTTGTTCTGACAGTGTAATTTTGCTTTCAGACSTGTAGTTTTGTTTTTAAATCTGTGATTTTGTTTTTAAACTTGTAATCTTGTTTTGCAGCTTGAGGTTTTGTTTTGCAGCTTGTTATGTAGTCCTGAGAATTGTTATCTTGTTTTGAAACATGTAATCTTGTTTTGAGACGCGTAGTTTTGTTTTTAAATTTGTTATTTCGTTTTCAAACTTGTAATATTGTTTTGAGACAAGTAGATTTCTGTTTTGCAGCTTGTATTCTTGTTTTGCAACTTGAAAACTTGTTTTGAGATTTGAAGTTTTGGTTTCAAATTTGTAATTTTGTCTTTAAACATGTAATCTTGTATGTATGTGTGTTTTTATTTGTAACATGCATTGTAATATTGTTTTGTCCCAATCGGCCACCGTATTTACGTGATGGAAGGTGCGGCAAAAGTTGGCATGGTTACTTATATATAACCTGTGTCACATCCGGAATTTTCTTCGTAAATACCGTCTGCGAGACATCGCCAGAAAGCTCGTTCTAGAACCCCCGCAAATTGCGCGATTATATATAATAGATTCTGATTGGCTGTTAGCCATTGCTCATTCATTAAATATTTTCAAGAGTTATCTCAAAACATATTTATTTCGCACAGCTTTTCCTTAATCATTCGTTAAATCTTATTGACTTTTAGATTACATAGTTTTTTGATTTTGATATTACAGATATTATTAATTATTATTATTAATCATTATTTGTTTGTAAAGCACTTTTGGACATTTAAGGAATGGGCGCTATATAAATAAAAGATTATTATCATTATTTAAAATCATATCTCAAACTAACTATGTGTTGTTGATAACACACGCATATAGGGAATAAAGCAATTCCTACAACATAAATCAATTAAGTTGACATACGTATTTCCAAACACCTTCTAGATCTGGTGCTCACATGGCAATCTTCAGCTAGCTACCAAAACATTTATTAATATTTATTTTGTTTAATTATTGCTTTTCCTTCCTCTTCTTTCTCATGCCTGAGGTGCGAGAACAAACAACCTTGAACGGTTCTCTGGCAAACATGTTTAAATCCCTTGTGGATGAAATGAGGTCCATGAACAGGAAAATGGTCATTATGACAGCAACCGTCGACTTGGACGACGAGGACATTGAAGAAGAGGAAGAAGATCGCCAAAATAATGACGCTCAATCTGTCGTGTCGCTGGAAACTCAGGTCAAACAACTAGCTAAAACCCGCGAGGCGGGAACCAAACAGAGTAGTGATGCTCTACGTGACATCGCTCAAGATCTAGATCTGAGCGAAAAGACGGGTAGCCCTGTAGATGAGGAGCTGGCAAACATAGTCCACAGTCTTCTAAAGGATAAAATACCTGAAGAAAAGACACAAACAAAGATCGACCAATACCCAAAGCCAGCCAACATTGATGGTTAGAGAACGCCACGAGTGAACCCACTCATTTGGAACCAGCTCCCGGCACAAGTCTGTACACAGGACTCGAAATATCAAAAAACACAAAATTCGCTTGTGGCGTCTATAGTCCCAATTACGAAAGCGACCGACATCGTGCTAAAACAAAACAAACCAGACAACAAAGAGCTCTTGACCTGCCTCACAGACGGCATTGCCTTGGCCACGAATTGTCTACATGACATCAACAGCACGAGACGCCAGTCAATGAAGAAAGATCTGCACAGGGACTATGCCGCTCTATGCAATACAAACACGGTCCCATCCACGTCAGAATACTTGTTTGGCGATTTGTCTAAGCTAACGAAAGATATTTCGGATGCCAACAAATTAACGAGGAAAGTAAGACCGGCGCCGTCGCACAACTCACGCGGCCGGAAATCCACATACTACCCAAACCAGAACCAGAATAATCGAAACCGACGGTTTGCACCTTACTCTTACTCAAGAGGTCGAACCGATAATTTTTTATCGAAAGGCCGCTCTCCGACGACGAAAGGGAAAAAGGAGAGCAACAACAACACGCAATAGATGAACCGTCAAATGACAAGCCATTGAATAAGGTAAACAATAGTGATTGTTACCCGAGTAATACACATGACGAGGTCAAACATATCATTGATAATCAAACTGCCTTTAGGGCMGGACAAATTACACCAGCTCTGCAAAGCTGGTACGAGATCACTAATGATCCTACCATCATTCAGTTTGTAACAGGGGTATACATAGAATTCACCCATAAGATTGAGCCTACACAAATTTATATTTGACCGAGTACGTTTAACTCGAAGGAAAAAGCTATTGTTTACGAASAAATCAACAAACTCATGAAAAAAGGGGTAATCAAAGAATCACACAATGAAAAGGGGGAGTTCATCTCCCCTATTTTCTTAAGACCTAAACCTGATGGCTCACACAGAACCATATTAAATCTTAAAACATTCAATGAGTTTGTAGAATATCACCATTTCAAAATGGACACATTAGAATCTGCAATCAGATTAGTTAAACCAGCCTGCTACATGGCTTCAATAGATCTTAAAGATGCATACTATTCAGTAGCTGTAGCAGAAGAACATCAAAAATACCTTAAGTTTTTGTTTGAAGGGAAACTGTATCAATACACTTGTTTGCCTAACGGCCTATCGAGTGCACCTCGTATTTTCACAAAATTACTTAAGCCAGCCTATGCTCACCTACATAATTTAGGTCATTTAAGCTTGGGCTATATTGATGACTCGTACCTCCAAGGAGACACATATGAAGAATGTATGAATAATATCAAAGATACAKTCAGTTTATTCAAAAGGTTAGGGTTTTACCTACACCCTTCAAAGTCTCTTATTACCCCTACACAAAAATTGACATTCCTTGGATTTAACATAGATTCCATCAGTATGACTGTATCACCAACAGAACAGAAAGTGGAAAAAACACTAAGAGTATGCAAAAAATTAATAGTGAAGCAACAACCGCTAATTTCAGAAGTAGCAGAAGTGATAGGCATACTAGTTTCTAATTTCCCAGGTGCACAGTTTGGGCCCCTCTATTACCGGTCATTGGAGCGGGATAAAACCAATGCCCTTATTTGTAGCAAGGGTAATTATAATGCTCACATGCAACTGTCAGCTAGGTCCATGATAGAGCTGGAATGGTGGATCACAAACATGCCACATGTACATAAAAATATCCAGCCCCTCAAAGCAAGCATTTTAATGCAAACCGATGCTTCAAACAAAGGGTGGGGGGCAGTGTATGGCAACCGTCAAATAGGCGGAAGGTGGAATRCTGATGAAGCCAATGACCACATAAACATCTTGGAGCTCAAAGCAGCTTTCTTTGCACTTAAATCATTTTGTAGCCAAAGTCATGACACCCATATCCAGATCCAAATAGATAATACAACAGCTGTGTGCTATATTAACAACATGGGAGGATCGAAATCTCCTGCAATAAACAAACTCGCAA